AAAGCAGTTAATAATATATTCTACGTTGTAATGTGATAATATGTCCTTAATTGAAACCCATCAGTCCATCCATGCACGAAACAATAACTATATCATATTTTAAATTAGCATTGTATCATAAAACAAACAGAATGTCTTAAAAATAGCATGATACAAACAAAAACCAATTTTACATAATAACTACCAGTATTCTTCATGATATTAACTCACATATACGCATTTATATGTATATAATTCGAAACGATGGTATGCTTATCGCTAGCCCAATCAATTAATGTGCTTCGATAGTTCGACGCAATAATGTGATTTGTAAGTTGCCGATGGGGCGAATTCGATTCATTAATTCAAGGAAGGTGGTAGTGACTTTTAACTAATGATTTTATGAATGAAAATCGAGTACGCAAAAAATGACTAAAAATATCTATACAAAAAAGAATGACTTTACAATGTTTTCGAAACGACAGAATATATATTGAAACAGGTTTACAAATAGCTGAAGTGTGAACTCTAAATAAAAAAGCCAAGGAATGATACCTGTCTTCACTTGTAATTACATAAACGAAATATACTAATAAACGCAGAAATATTATAAAGACAATAAGTCTTTGGAAGGAGAAGTAAGAAAACTAACTTATAAAAGTATACAGTACGCTAATACATACAGATAAAAATGCCGGAATTATGGTCTCACAGACAATGATCAACAAAAAGGATCTTTTCAGGTAGAAAACGAACAAGAAGCTATTTATCAAGATGAAACAGTTTAGTTTCTGCGAAAATGTATCCAAATTGAACAAAACTTGTTTAAGATGAAATGAATTGGTCAAAACGTTCTTATACGATTAAATTAATAATCAAATTTAGATTAAGTACTAATTAATTGAACTAAGATATTTGCTGATTAATACAGCATTAAGAGAAAATCAAAACAATTCATGTCTGTCAAGTATTAGGCTTGCAGTCACGTTCATATGAATACTTAATTACAGTTTAAGTGGTCAGTCAGTCAGTCAGTCAGTCACAACGTAGAACTTCGTACGTACGTACACCAGTTCGAGTTACCATACCACATTAACACAGAAATGCAGTTGTCGATTCAAATCCCATAGTGGTAGAGGTAGTAAGAGTATAAGCATTATGTGAAAGATTAGGGTTTAAAGATAATATTAAAGGAGTATAATACAGTGAAATAAATTTGGAAAGAGAAAAAAGATAGAGACATGGAAAATTCAGAAGACTAGAATTTGGTAGAACACAAAGAGTGGATGCACCTTCGCCATCGCAAACGATTTTGAGCCATGTCATTCAAGGTCTCTAACCATCGATTGCTATAATCTCGCGAATCACAACCCGGTAGTCTACACCTACCAGCATGGCTCAGTCCACTTGATAGTGACTTCATGGATTTGTGTCACGTTTTGGTCTGGCCGCCCCTAGCTTTCAGTTTAAGTGGGCCCGCCATAAACAACATAGAACCTGAAACGTTTGTGGATTAGTTAAACTTGCCATGCCATATAAGCATAATAAGATGAAATGGCCAATACAAATTCCAGGGTAGTAGGAGTAGTACCAGTATCAGTCGTAGTAATAAAACTAGAGAATAGAAAAAAATGATCCAATGAGAAAATATAGATTTGTACAACAGAACCCAAGGTCTAAGGGGAGATAAAGAGTGAATGTATCTGCGTCATTATTTCTGAGCTGACAAAAGTCCGACACCAACCCTCCAGGGCTGATGGGACTTCCACGACCAGTGAAAAAGTCAATGCAATCAACTAAGCCACTCCCATTTATTAGTCTAAATACTGACATGGACCAGTAGGGAAGCAAAATTTTACATTCGACTGGAGGCGCAATCCAAACATGGTTGTATTATTGCTTAAAGCAACCAGAAGATTCTATTTTCTGTCAGCTTTTTCACTAAAACCGAACAATGTCACAATGTCAAGTCTGTAAATAAAACTTCTGGAACGGGGTCAACCCATGAAAGGATAAGTGAAAGAAGTGATTTTTAGGAAGATAACGATAACGAAATTAAATAAAAAGACATATGGTGGGAAACCTTGACAAAAACAACTTGAAGATAATAATTAAGATGATAGTTCGCCACAAGCTCTGACTTGACCAAGTGTTAGAGTAGAGAAACTTCACAATCTTCGAGTAGTGTTTTGGTACACAGCCACTACCATAAAACATGTCGATAAACGAAGTCGAATGTTGCCTCAAGCTTGAGAAATACTATTATGATTGGACACCAGTAGGTATATCTAAGTTCCAAAAACCGATAAAAGGTGAATATTTGGCCAGTACATGCACTTTTGCGTCTGAAGCCGGCCTAAATTTCCCAAGTTTGTTGTTAATTAGTCCTAATTGTGCAGCGGGTGATTATTAGGGCTAGTATTTTAGACACTGGATCAGTCAAACTAACCCCTTTTGGTTAACACAAGAGCGTTTTTAAATGGAACGACTAATTATTAAAAGTAGTATGCATCATATGTAAATTGAGATACGAACCGCACAATCAAGCCAAAGATAGTTTGCTTAGGTGACAGCTCACCAGCCTTCAACATGGATTTCTAATCCACAAAGCAGTGCGTGAACGTTAGTAAACGGTGTACCATGCCAGCTGGCGACCAAAAATAGGTTCATATTCCACTTATGCTCTCAAAATCCTGGAGTCTATGCATATCACAGTTTTGGAATTGAGGATTTCTAACTTTCCTAGGTGAAATTCTCATACCCACCAAACCATTCCCAGCACTGGACGTTCGCTTTTCGTTCTCCCAATTTCGTAAATAACATGCCGCTGAGTGAAGGCAAAGAGTATGGCATTTTCGGTAGAGGCTATGAACCCATGGCCTTATGAGAGCATTCCAAGAGGGAAAGCAGGCTCTCCACACTCTCGGACGCCCCAGGGCATTCTGCGGCAAGTTATAAAAACGAAACGAATAGTTGTCGAAACAATTCAGAGAATCAGGTAAAACTTGTTCCGTATCATGAGTATCAAGTGATAAAGAATTGAACATGAAATCCATGTCCAATGAAAAAATAAGATCTGAACAAATAAACACCATAAACTAAAAAATAGTTCTATTTACACAGAAAACAGGAAAATCATTCTTCAACAAGATAAGTCATATAAACTGTTTAACACAGGGGAAACTACCGTGCAACATTTACATCTAAATTTAGACAATTAATCACGTATACCACAAGATCAAACCAAAATGTCTTTCGAAACTTTGTCATAACATCGGAATTATAATCTAGTTTTTGCACCAGTTAGTATTCTTTTTGTCTTCTTAAAAATGATTATTTTGATGGGAGTATATAATACTGACGAAATATCAGTAATAAGAAAATTAATTCATTAGTGATAACAGTAAAACAATTGCTCATGTATGCCATGGGGTTCGAACATGGAACTAAATGGTCAAAAGCAGAACCCCATAATCGTCAAGCCACACATACACAATCATGCGTTTGCCAAATAGACTGTTATAAAATAGTACGAAATACCTTTAAACATTCATTCATCATGCTCTCTGAAGCGTTTAAACCAATGTGTAATATCAACGTATAAAATTTCTAATCATTTGTCTAGAAAGTATACGAGTTGAAAGATACTTTATTTATTGTTCATACGATATCAGGAATCAATGGTAAAAGAATTTATGCCAGGACATTCAAAATCGATAACCGCAGTATAAATGAATTAGTTTTTAACTTCGTTATCTTTATATTACGAAAAATCCTTTTTATACTCCTTTTAACTTGTTATGCCTCGTTTCATTGTATGCTAAAACTCAAAAATACATACTATTGAACTAAGTTTCAGGTTCTTACCATAAGTTATAATCAAAAAGTAGGAAAAACTATTGAAACACATTACTAAACGTATATTGATTCTTGTATATACCGGATTATGATTATCATATAAATTTCATAAATCATTGAAATTTCGTACGATATGAACATGTTATGTAACAATAACAATAATACAAAAAAGTGAAAAAAACTATGGATGCATAAAAATTTTCAGAAAGAGTGAAATAATCACAACTGAAGAGAAAAACGCCATTGAGAAACTCTTAGTAAGTTTCAGTTATATATATTCATTCAAATGGTACAGGAAGAAACACTCACAGATTATTTCAATTATAAACCACATTTGATGTTTGTACACTAGTGTAGTCTCTAAATCGGTATAGTTTTAACTAAAATTCAACATATGGAATGCTCAGTGTTACATTGACTTATAAAGTTTAGTTTTTTCTAAGCGATATCAAGAGAGGAGAACAAAGTAAAATGACAACTGTTAAATTGTGTACACTAAACATATTTTTTAACTGATCATTTAACTATACACAGCAATATTATTTACATGCTATGCTGAATGTTGAGTTAACTTTCTTGATGAAAACAAATAAAAACCCACTAGATAGTTTCAAAATAGCTCACAGCTGATAACGTGAATTAATAAGAACTTTTATAGTTGAGATAATTGTTCACAACATATAAAAATAAAATAAAAATTATTTAATCAAGGCCTCAATAACCAGAGAATCATGTTTTCGTTCAATAATGCCCTATAATAAAAAACTTATTAACGGGCATTTATAATATCCAAATATTATTTACACATAAAAGGATGTCATAAGATAGAAAATTGACAAGTAGGCTATAAAACAGAAGCACCTCCAGTAAGGCGTGAACATTCAGTCAAAAACAAATTGTCCCCTCGAAACGATCAGATAAAAAAAAATTTCCACCATAAGCAGAAGCGAGTGGATCCTGAAGTCAAAATAGAAGAATCCACAAACGCGATACTAAGATCGTCCCAACTAACTGACAGCCGTAGTTCTTATATAAAATACAGAAATAACTAAGAATACTCGGACTACTTACCAGTAGTGAGTAGTATAAGATATAAACGAAAATTACAGGCAAGGAGATTATTTATTTCAATTAATTGGCCAAACATGGTTACACAGACTCACTTTTATCAAATTCCATTTACGTCGGGCTGATAATTTGCACAACTCTTCGTAACTTTTTAGGGCAGTTTGTCTATCAGGAGCCTCTTCGGCAGAAATTAGACTGTCTTTGTCCAAGCAATCGCTAATGATAAAGAAACGGAAAAAAATGAGACCGATATGGAAGTTAGAAGCTTTATAACCTATATACATGAAAACTACTCATTAGTTGTCGAGAGGAATAAAACCAGAAAATTACTGGTAACTGTAAACCAGGTAGTTTTGTTGAGTTTCTTTTTTCAAAGAAAAAGACATTTTCCTACTTTGTTATGCAAAAATACACTCACTCTAAATTCTTACATGAAACCCTTTAATTATAAATTATTAAGACCAAAATGATTATCCACAGTGTTCATTTAGGCGCTGGAAGCCTTCCTTTCGAAATAAATGTAGAGTAATTATTTCACAATCTTAAAAAAATGAACGATGTGTCCCAAATATTGGACCTATAGAAATTAGTTTATTTGATAATCTTTTAAATGACTCAAATACTAAATATTTGTTGCAAAAAGGTGAAACGAATTTTATCATGTATTATATTCATTGATGTATTCTGAACACAAAAGACAGCTTAGTAAGGTTAGGCTTTGATAAATCCGTCACATGAAACGAAATGACACTGATGTGAAGTAATATGTGTAGAGTAAATGATATACTTTATAAGAACTTTTGTTTAAATTAGAACGAATAGTTTCACAGTATTTCGGCGCCGAGTTGATGTAAGACATTAAATGAGAAGAATATATTTGTAAAATCTCAGCGAATGAATTTGAAGCAAATCCAACGTTTCGCCTGGCAATTTGATCCTAGCTTTTCAATAACCAGATTGCCAGACGAAACGTTGGATTTGCTTCAAATTCATTCGCTGAGATTTTACAAATATATTCTTCCTATTTAATATAATGATATACTGAAAACAAGAACAAAAATATCACACGGAACAAAGTCATTGAGAAGTAAAACTAAGATACATTAAATTCCGCACACAATTGTATACTATTGTACCTAGTTCTTAGTAGACTTTTAGGTTTGTATGTACTTACGAGAATATACCATCAATGATTCTGTCTTGAGTTGATATATGAACTTTCATTCCATACTACATTACATGGACTGAACTAATAAAAAACCCCATGAATGTCAGCTGTTTATAATACCAACAAGGGAAACTCGTTTTGTGACACAATCTGTTGATCTGGTAGTCGTTAATTGACAATAAAAAGAATAATGATGATCAGAACAACACATGTATATATAATAACTTAGAGCAAACTGTCAGCCTCATACCAAGTTAAGTGTTAAAGCATACTGCATGAGGATTATACAAATTTTATTTATTCGCCATTGTTGGAGAGATGGATTGTAGATGCAAACCATCTCTAACTAATTGAGCGAATTCGGGGAGATTAGACTGCAAAGGCCCCCAAATGCCCTGGTACGGCCGAGAGTGGGGAGAGTCACCTCTCCCTCTCGAAATACTCTCATATGGCCAGCGAATATATAGCCTCTATCAGGGAAGTCCTACTCACTGCCTTCTCGTGGCGGGGGTGTTGTTTACGAAAGTGAGAGGACGAAAAGCAAATGTCCGGAGCTTTAACCGGGTTGGTGGACGCGGAGGGTCCACCTAGGGGAGTTGGAAAACCCTGATTCCAAACCAATGGTGCACGTGGGCTCCAGTATCCTGAGGGAAAGAATGGCGGACGAACCTGTCATTGGTCAACGACTACCATGGGACTGCATCTCCTCACGATGCTCCGCTGCCTTGTGGATCAGACATTCAGGTCAAAGGTTCCGGGTGTGGTCCCCTAAGAAAACCACCTGCTTCAGTCTGGGCACCTGGGCAGTATCACAGCCCTCACACAAATCGAGTGAGATTTGTGAGGCGCATATTTGTCTGGTGCTTCATTGTACCAATATTTATGTGTTTAAATAAATAAATAAATAATAAGACTGCAAAGAATCCATCATGAAAATTAACTGACCTATTGTTAAAAGAAACACCAGCACATCTCTTTTGGAAAGCGACATTAATCAGATCGATGGACTGGTCTTCAGGAACAAATCTGCAAGGGAATGACAACACGTAGAGTGCACTTGTTTGCAGAAAATAACTTAATACATTGAAACATGATAACCAAATAATTGGTCAGAAAAAGTTTCAGACGCTCAAATAATCATCTATAATGACTAGCGACAAGTTGCTAAATTCGATAGCACAAATTAATAAGCCCGCGTTACAGATAAAACACTTAAGTTTGTGAAAGTTAAAGTCAGATTTGTGAAATTCTACTTCTCCCGAGCGTAAGGCCCTGCAAAATGATCACTGAAATTAATTGATAAGTAACTGTTGTACTGTAGTGAACAATAAGACGAGTAGAGACAATCGAATGTATTTGAGCACAAAATTACAGAATATCTCATTAAAATCTGACAACCATACAGTAAACAGTTAATTTGCAAACTATCAATCAATTATAAGCAAAGATGGATAGTGGCTAGCAGTGGAATCCAGGACGCGAGTTCCGTCCTATTCGGGACTCGTCATGTGGATGTGCCTACATCTCAATCAATCGTCTCAATCTTGACTGTTCCTTCTGCAAATATCAGTCCATAGTCTCCGATTATTATTGTACATGCATTTTCATACCAATTGCGTTTCGTTTCCGTTCTTTCGTTATCGATCTACTACTGAAATACATTCAATGCCCGAACATCATTATATACTACATATGTGGATATAAGCAGCCAACACCACAGTATCTTTCCATCATAAAAGATCTATGAGTTTACTCAATATTTGTATCAGTGCAGCAAAGAAATGAAAGAAGGGAACTAATAGTCTAAACAGTTAGCTATAGGTAGCCTGTACACGATGTATAATTTAAATTCAGAAATAGGATATCGGATATATAACGACAAGCATTTCCAGAATTTCAAGTCTGTATCTCCAGTTAGTCAGTAATACACAACGTAGAGCTCGGGACATGTGTATATCGGTTTAAGTTTCCGTATCTTACTGCATAGTAAGATAAAGTGTGTATTTTCAACTGTTTGATTTAGAATTAACACAACAGTATTTCCCGCTAGTATTGATATACATTTAATTAAGATTTGGTTACATTAATGATACGTTGATATGGTTACACTTTCAAAACAATCAAGAGTCCGAGTACTAGTAAATTAAGAGGATGATTTTAAGATGTTATGTTTTGTAAGAAGTTAACATCATCAAACCAGTAAATTAGTGATAAAATTAAAAATTTGAGGTAAAGACAATTCAGTGAAGAAAACTTCCCAATGATATCATTTCCTGAAACTGTATAACTATATTTCTCATTACTTAAATTCTGATCACGTTCGACTAGAATCACATTTCAAAATTATTTGCATGGCCGAATGAGTAAACTCTAAAGGAGTACGACCTAAAAATGTGTCCAATTCGAAAGCTTTACAAAATCTCTGTCCAAAATAATCAAGTTTAATCTCTTATTTTACCACACCCCTAGCATCTCTTCCATCCTTTTCTCTTGTTTTTTCACACATTAGTCAGTTATTTTAGTTCTCGCAATTTTTTGTAATCACTATTCAGCTGCTAGTATCACCACTCATTTTATTTCTTTTTCATGTTTGTCAAGTGAACAACTATCACCCATATTTCTTCCTGATCCGTAAATTTCTTTATCTTACTCCTGTTTTTTGACCTTTGAACCATTAACCAATATTTTTGTGGTAAGTCAAATTTCGCACAGAATAAGATAATTTATTTTTCAAAAAACTAATACATTTATGAGATTGCCAAAAATATCATCGTAAGGCTTCAGTAGATGAGATAGTTAAAAGGAAATTTTCTTACGCTGGTTTGTCTTCATATCACAATAAATCGCTTTCTTTAAAATGGAAAATTAACAACAAAACTTGGGATAGTACTTATACAATCTAGTAATATTTTTACGAATCAGTGGTATCTCGTTTTTTTCGAAATTCATGAATCACGATGATTTTACACATACATTTACAGATTTAATAACCAATACAGGTTTTTATATTCGGCTGTGGGTCACATTATTATTTGAGAAGTAGCGATATAATACGGTTAACGAGACCGAATTCAGTAAAGCAGGGTTCAAGCCTGCAACTCGATAGTTGAGTAAACTGAATATGAGTTTGCTTAATATGTCTACAACCTAAAGCCTTGTGAAATTCACTCAATGTCGACAGATTTGTGAGTGAAAATTTAAATAATATCCTATTGCGCCAATTGAATTAGAAATGATTGAGTAGAGTAACACTAACAGTTTTAGGTTCTTATATGATGTAGTTTAGTTATTCAATTTTTTGACAGCAATGATTCTTAACGATTTCACTACATGTAAACTAGAAGGAATTTCATGGTAACAAATACTAGCAATTTTTCAAATTTGAAAATGAACTCCCATTTAGAGGGAAAAATATACCACATGAAAAAGTGTTATGTAACTGACAAACCTGTCAAGTAATGCTGCGATAACAGATGAGTCTAGACCGCCACTAAACAGTAAACCGAATAAAGAACCTGACTGATTCTCACGCAATACATTAGATACATTGAAAGAGTAATTTGTATCACATAATAAGTCAAAATAAACTGAATCATGTATAACAGCAGATAATAAATCCAAAAACTTCTGTTGTACTTCTTTTAAAGTTGTGGGTATACACATATTTGCAGAAATGCTATTACAATGATTTTGATTTACATGCAAAACTCTATCAACTTTAACTGGAATATTTGAAGGACACAGAAGTAAGTGCTGTTCAGACCAAGGATATAGATTAATATCTGAGAGAAAAACATTTCCATTGTCACAAACAATTTTTGATACAAATATTCCACAAGCAGGTATTTCAAACCAATCCTTTGCGTTTTTTTCCTAAATAAAAATAATTTCAACTGGTTGAAAAGTATGAGTTATCAATTATCATAAAATAAAAAATAACCACATGACAAAAACGACAGGATGGTAAACAATCTGGTATTTGAATACGCATAGATACTTAATTGCATATTTCATCCGTTGAATCACAACGAAATAAAGCTGTCGATCAATGTATGTAATTCCTGAACAACTAAATTAGAAACAAGCCCATTTATCCAGCTTATGACAACTTAAAAAAGAGGATCAGCTTGTCAAGTTCATAAAAAATGAATCTGGACTGATTAAGATGTAAAAACATCGATCCCATTTGCCAGTTTTTAACATTTTTAAGCTGGCTTCGTTTACAGTTATGTCATCATTTTTTCACACATTCGTTTAAATGCTCCAAGGCAACTTAGAGAACTTTTAGACAAAAATGTGTGAGGTTTTCTAATACGTTTCCAGTTAATAAGCTGGGTGAACATTTGGAGATTCAAACTCAAGGTATCTATTATTTCATGAAATTGAATGGAGAACAATAAACTCAAAAATAAATACAAACATTGAAGACACGATAATAGTGAAAATAGGATATGAATGTAACAAAATCTACTGTTGAGCAGTTACAGAAATAAATTAGCTTACAAGCGAATCCAAACTAACTTCCGGAAGAGAAGACTTGGTTGGAATAACAATATTTGAAACTGAATCGATACAAAATAATTCATTAGGTAGTCCTGAAACCCTTCTGGCAACAAGAGAATGACGACCGAATTGATCTCGAGTGAAATAAACCCTGCCTAATTCGACCTAAACGTTTTTAAATCGTAAGTATTGACCAAAACTTACGCTAACAAATATAAGTACAAAAGAACCAATCAAAGAGTTAACTAAATTAACAACAGCATTTACGTTATTTTCCTTAGAAAATGCATCTAGTAGAACTTGACCAATACTAATATTCTCAGATTCAAAGCTTTTTGCAAGAGTTATGTCGCTTGATGAGCGTATTTGGCCGGAGCAGAAAAGAATGTCACCTCCTGTATTAGATTGAATTAGAAATTGATGTGCATTTTTTTGAAATGGATTATTAAATGCAAAAAATGAACTAGACATTAAAATCCATCCCTTGGAAAGTTTTGCAGCTCTCCAACAGCTTGTTTCGACAGTGTGACAAGACGCTGAAGAAATATTAGTGTTTAAAATATCTTGGAGATCAACTGTATTTAGATCTCTGACCTGTGTAAATTTGACAAAAAAATGTAACAATAAGATATAGACATTACATAAGTGTATTTATAAAGTTATTAAATGAGAAAAGGATACGTTCATGAGAAAAAAATTGGACTAATAAATCACCAAGCTACTTGCGTCTTCAAATACCCTTTTGAAAATAGTGGCCAAAAGATAATTAGGCTCAGCTATTTTGTACAAAATTAGACTTTATTTAAGCATATAAATTCAATTACAACAGGAAACCAAAAATACCCCACAAAATTAAGATAATATTAAGGGTGGTGGTGACCCTCCAGTTATTGAACTGGCTGAGTCGTTTGCAAAGATTTAGGAATTAAAGTGATCCGACACCCTGGAATGAGTCAATAGCTGTCTCTATTTTTAAAAATGGTTTGCGTCACCTATGCAACGACCATCGGGGGGGGGGTACTCTACTTCCAATTGCGTCCAAATTAATGGCTTCCGCCACACTTCGGTCAGGAAAGGTTGACTCACGAGGAGCAAGTCGGTTCTCGTTCTCGTCTTTTATGTATTGATCATATCTTTACCCTCACTAAATGCTAGAACGTCACCATACTTATTCCAGGCCAACGACTGTTGCGTTTCTTGACATCAGGATCGCCTTTTATCTCTTGGGCAGGGATGTATTTCAGGACTGTTTATTCAAGTGTCCCTGAGAAGTTTATTAATATCTTGAAAATCCTATATACAAATACTTCAGGGAGAATGAAAGCATACACCTACCCCTGTCCATTGCTTTGTTCAAGCAGCGGGGTTAAGCAAGACCGATCAAACCACTCCTCTCTAACATTGTCATTGATGTTCTGGAAACAGCTATGATGGGTGTAGATAACAGTGGTGTGAAAATTTTCTCCACCCCAAATATGAGTATGATATTGTCTTACCATGAGATGATATCCAAGCCATGCAATCAGCACCTAAACAGCTGACAATCAGTGTCTGTAAGTATGGTTTGCGCTTTGCACCTTCTAAGTGGGAAGTACTTTTAAAAGACTGGGAAGGCCTTACCTCTGCACTCACTCTTCAGAACGACCAGTTTCGAGCACGTGAGAAGTTTGTGCATACGAGTAGGTAAGTGCCGATGGTGGAGTGGGTGATGAGATTAATTTACATATAACGAATTCCAGAGGGGTTTATGCCAATCTGGGTCTTCTTTGGTGGAATCTAATGTTTTTTCTTACAAGTTACTATGAGTCAACAGTCATACCTTGACGTTATAGAACAGTCAAGACATTTAACGGAGCTCAATGAGTAGTTTAATTACGCAATCTGATAGTGATAGTGAATTAGTAAGGTATTTAGAGGTTAAAATGTTTTGAAGGTAGCTGATTGCGTCAGTCCCGATTAGATTGATAAAACAAGCTGCAGAAACGTAACTAGGAAGACTCCTTATTACATACAGTATGACTTTAGTGAGCCTCAGTAGGATGGTAAATATAGGAAGAACGAGGGAGAAAATAGAATAATGACAAATAACTGTATGTATGAGTATTCGAAGGAGCCCAAGCTCCTCCCAATTAATAGCGAAATTCTACTCAGATCGGCGAGACTATAATTTATGGACAAACCAATCAGAAGCATATATGAGATTTCAAAGTCACGGAGCCAATTTCAGTACCTGATGCTCGGCCACCCAATGCCCTGGTACGGCAGAGAGTGGGAAGAGTCCGCTCTCACATGGCCTTCGCGTATATAGCCTCTGCCAGGGGAATCCTACTCACTGCCATCTATTGGCGGGGGTGTTTACGAAATTCACAGAACGAAAAACGAATGTCCGGAGCTTTAACTGCGTTGGTGGACACGGAAAGCTCACCTAGGGGAGTTGGAAAACCATGATTTCAAACCGATGGTGCACATGGGCTGGCTCCAATTTCCTGAGGGAACAAATGGCGTATGGATCAATCGTTGGTCATCGGCTACCATAAGACTGCATCTCCTTATGATGCTCCACTGCCTTGTGTGTTCGACCTTTAGGTCAAAGGCTTCGGGTGTGGCCCCTTAAGAAAACCACCTGCTTCAGTCTGAACACCCGAGCAGTATCACAGCCCTCACACGTATCAAATGAGATTTGTGTGGCGCATATGTATCTGGTGCCCCTTTGTACCAATATTTGTTTTTAAATAAATAATAAAATAAACCTGATGCTCATGTACGATCGGTTCACATAGGATTTTAGAGAAGTGACAATTAAAAGGCTACAACGAATGAGACTACTAAGAATTTCCTTTATTTGTAATTGCGGTAATCAGATGACCTGTAGACCTTGTGCACACTAATGTGATGTTGTCCTTCGATGTAATATATGTTAACTGGAGACGTAATCAGATATGGCTCAGAATAGAAGCCAATGGCGATCCTGTTGTAACCTTTTACTTTCTGCATAAAGTGGCTATAACCTCCTTAACTGAGAGAGTTCTTCTAGTTGTACATTTCAATTCCTCTCACCATTACTTTTTTTATATGCATCTAACCCCTTTCTCTTCCCTTTTTCATTGTTTTGTGTGGCGCATATACATCTGGTGCCCCCTTGCACCAATATTTGTGTTCAAATAAATAAATAAATAAACATATATATGTTGGTGGAAGACATCTGTCAGAATAAGAAATTTTTTCTCTCGATCCAGAATGAGTCTAAGACAAATCATAATAAAAGCACCAGTAATATTGGCTGCAATGTTCGTAGATGTTACTGAAGCGACGGGTGTTCAGTGGTATGAGTACTGTAGGGATATATCCGCAATAATAATGACAAGCTTACACAGCCAGAGTACACACAAACAATATTGAAGCTACGTGGTAGAGGTTGAAAGAGTATTCACGATTTTATCATGGCTCCAGAGATAGACCATCATGGAGTCATACGGATGAGTTCCTCTACCGTAGGTATTATAACTGTACCTCTTTCTAACTTTGACAACCTTTTGAACTATGTATCCACTTTAATTATTTGGTTTTGTGTATGTTTTTACACTATACTGACTGTTCACCGACTGCCTAATATTTCTCAAAGTCACTAGTGATCTGTTCAAAGGTCATCCATAAACTATAGTCACGCAGCGATTTATCAACTAATATCAAACTAATACTTCTCTTCAGTGTTATGATCGAATAGTCTATCTTTCTTGAATACTAACACATTACCTAGCCAGCTTTTCGCAGAACTTAATGGACTAGTTTACTACCACATATATACTTGAGTAATAAGACTTGAGTTCTCTAGTGCAACAAAATTATCGCAGCACTCGACACGAATTAAAATAGCCGCTCACATGCATCACATAAATAGTTCTTAACGATATTTACATATATGTGACAATTAAACAACACTGTTGACTTTTTCCGAAAAATTTACACCGTTAGCATTCATGAATTTTCGAAATTTTACTCAGTAGGAATCCTGCTAAATGCAAATTTCTCTTCACATGCACATGGAGAAAACTTTTTTAAATATTTCAACCCTCTTGCTAACTTGTAAATACCTCAGAATTATCTGGACATTGGGAAACAAAAAGACCGAAACTCAGCATGGGCCAAATTTCGAAATATCGCTTTTCAGTGACCTGAAAGGTCATAATAAAATTATTCATCTCTGATGTAACCAAATATTAATTTAAAACTTGGACTTCTTTATCAGTGACCAGCAAGAAATTCTTAGGTTCATCTTTTCAGGCTTCTAAAAATCCGAGAAATCTCTATCTAATTGTAGACTTTGATTTTCTTAAAGGATTAGCTCGACTAAAAGTAGATTGTATCTCCAATATTTTCGCCACGGGCTTTTATAAACTGATTGAGTCCTTTGAGCTTGCTTTTTGTAGTTTCAGTACAGCTCCAGATATTCGATTATGTCCAAATTTTGTTACTTGAATGCACTAATTCTAGTCAGTTTTGGATAGTTATTTATGGATTTGAATGCCTTGCAGTGTGAGCGGGTGCGATCGTCTCAGCATAGTGGAGTTTCTTGTTAACGATTGCCATCACGCCAGCAGGTCAGAGGCTTCTTCACTGCAATGTCAGAGTAATAAATGGATTATTTGGGTCCTAAGAGAAGACAATTGTTTCAAAGATGCTAAATAAGTTCATTGATTGGTAATGTCAAAAGATATAATTGAAGGAATAAGAAGAGGCTTAGATGATAATAGGAGACATAGGTAATGGTTACTGATATGTGTATATGAAAGCCGTAATAATTTGTGAGACATAGATCGGGCAGATCTTTATCAAAAGCGTGTGGGCTTTTTAGTCGTTATATTTTCTCATTAGAGGAACTGTGGTCTTTGTGTCCTGTGCCATGAGTTGCCTATTGAAGTACATTGACCCAAAGGTGAGTTTCATGGGACTATTCTGAAGTTTCCTATACTAATCAAGGTCGGTTCCCACGACATCTGATGTGACTAAAGAGGCCTTTTCAGGGCTCTATCAGACCTGAATGCCTTCCGCTAGATTCTCTTGATTTTTAAAGTTCATAGTCATCGGAGGCGAAGACTTGATGATTGTGGAGTATGACGGGCGAGGTTTCCCGAAAACGCTAATCATCATGATGATGTGAAGGCCTATGCTACTTGGTAGCCGACATCACTATTCTAATATTGTGTTAGTGAGGTTTAATTTGGACTATCCTTTACAAGCTCAGGTACTCCGTGTATCACTATGTTGGTTAATTATTGGGTGTCTAATGCGCATTCAGCAGCATTTCATACGGCTCAGGGTTTTTATGTCCATCTTCGATTTGAGAGGATTCTTCAGCCAACGGTGTCTGGGATAACCTCTGTAACATATGGTGAATCCAAAGTTGCCCTCAATTGAGAAGGTTTCTCTTTTACTACGTTTTGGCCCTTATGTAGACAGCATAGCTTGAATAAAGTAAGGCTTTTTCCCAACATTGAGCAGTATTTTTCACATTGTTCCTTGCCAATAGTTGCAAAGTTTTCTAACAAACTACTCTCCGACACCGGAACACTAAATAAAGTCTGGGATGTATGTCGTCCCCAATTTTCGGAGTTTTGAGAGCTATATTTTCGCATTTTCCCTTCTTAATGCCCACTCACCGCTCCTCATTGTTGACAGATTTAAGGTATTAGCAACAGACAGTAAGTTTACTGGTCAAGTTGTTGCTCCCACAGTTGCGAGTTTGTTTGAACCTATGTGCGACGATCGCAATACACCGATGGGGGTTGATACGATTGGAGTCTAATGCTTCTCCTTTCGTAGTTCCTTTCGTGCATTCTTTCTATACTGTCAGATAACTACAAGAATCACGAACAGATGTGACTTACCATAAATCCATAGTACTGCCTAGGTACTTCGCATCATAGGGGCAGTGAACAGGGCTACTACAAAATTTACGATCTAATTCTGATAGTCTGGCTTGCATTCTATAGAATCTCCGTTTTTGTGTTGTTTCTACCTAGTAATCAGGACCGACTGCACTTTCAGAAGCCCTTTTCTTATTTTTTTGCCAAACAGTCTTACTACAAAAGAATACCCGGGAAGAAGCGTGTTTCAGATTACTTAGTTTCAGATTCAGTTTTGGTTTCTGGGTTTACTGGTCCATGTTTTACACATTACTCTGAAGTTCTTTAACTGGTGTAGTCTTTCTTATAATCGCCTTTCTAAAAACTGGAATTTTCGACCTACTATTGACCATTGAATCTGGACCTCTACCTTTCCTTATCGTCCTTGTAGTTATGATGTAAGTACTGGCGGTAGCGCTATTGCTGTGCATCCTTTTTAATAGACTGGAAAGTAGAATGTGAAACAATTAACGATCAAAGTTTTAAAAGTATAAATTATGGAGATGACCGAATATATACTGTATGCGAGTAAAACGTGAGAGTAACTTGTCCACAAATGTCTACTGCCTTCCATCGATCCAGTGTCGGCATGTTTCTCATGGCTAGAGAATTCACATGTTATGTGACTATCTAACAGGAGGCAAAATATAAAAATAGGTATCACTAGCTTTATTAGAATAAAACGAGGAATGAATAGCGGTTTGTTGAAAACTAAGCAGATAAAGTTTAACTTTCACATCCACACAGTTCTAGTGTGTTGATTATTTGTTTAAAACTGCAGGTTTATTCAGGATTCTGTTCTTTCAAGTCGTCATACTGCTCTATTTAAATCTATTCGCTTGACATTCGCGAACATGTTTTAGAACTGCACTGAAGTCCAAACAGGACATCACAACTGTTCAGCTCTGTAAACGTTTTATTATATTTATTTGAAGTCGTCCCTCGAACGATATCCTTCAGTAGATTGTTGCACCATGCCCAATGGTGCCCTATTTCATAGCAACCAGTGGTACACTTTATACCGGTGATCTTGTTGCTGATAAACGTCGTTCCTCACTCCTGATTTGACTGGGCTTGGGATCCTTCGATTATGAATGTATTACGGACACAAGCGTCTTCAAGCTCTGAATATCATGACATACTTAGCGGCTATCCTGACACAATATTGTACGCCAAACGATAAAATGTGAACCCGCTTCTTGTTCTAACTTTATGTATATTTTTACGTCTCGTGATATTACCTTCACTTTCTTAGATTTTTTCGCATATTCATATATTTTACCTTGATTATGTCCCAACATGCGTTTAAGCTGTCCAGAGAGAGGATTCCTGCGCCCCTTTACTTTCTACTCATGTCATTCTGTCCTAACAATATTCAAGACTGGTTTTACTATGCAAAGACTAGCCGTTACAGATATGACTTGACTGATCCACGTGAGCAGCTGCCAATTATAGTGAAGGCGTTTATATGCAGTTTCAATAATAACATTGCATCTAGTGTAGTTGCTGATGCTTCCGAACCTTGTGACACCTTACAAAAAACTATATTTGGAAGGGGAGACCTAACTGATTGACAATGTTTAGACCAGAAATTCTGCATGTCGAACTGCAACACGGATCAGCAACAGAAGTGTTGATACTTATGCAAGAGGTGATTGATCAGTGAACTTTCGACGAGAATATTTTCAAGCAATACTTTACATCCTCCCCAACAGGTTCAAGAGCTTTCTACTTCATTCCAAATTAACTTCATAGACAAACTGGCTTCACCTGACGGTTGGATTCCAAAGATTACAAGGAACCACAGCTCTAAGGTTTGTTCTGTCATAGAAGGACCTCAAACGACACTAAACGTAATTACAGATTCCCTTGATATTGTAGAATTATGGTAGGACCTAAGAAGATTCGAGTGGATATTCTTATTTCTTAGCGTGTGACTAGTTTTATAACGCTCAGACTTTCATAGGCTGATGTGTCAGAAGTAGAAAGTCAGATCATCTTTGAGTAGAAAGTGGACTGATGACTCGGCGAGCAAATAAAATGCATTTATTTTTAACGGCGAAAGCAAACGGTAACAATGGAAAATGGGATAAGGATAATCCAGTCTTCGACACAAGAACTTGATAGTGTACGGTTTCGAAAGTGTTACAGTTTTACATGACAGTCAGAAGCAATACCTATGGAGAGTGTTTATGCTGAAGCAGAGGCTCACGTTTCAGTCGCACGATGGATAGCAAGTGTTCACCACTTACCAGCTATCATTAAAGACGGTGAAAGCCAGAACGGCTATTCGACTTCCAGGAGAATTCGTCTATCCTACATCTTATTTGATGAATATGCATCTAAACTCCTACACGAGCAGGCTTAAGAACGCTGTTTGTTCATTTAGATCTGATCCCACTTTACAGTATTGAACTGATGTTTCCGCCAAGACCTCTCTACAAATTATTGCACACGTTTTGTAAGTCGCAACTCATTACACGGACACTTCGAATCTGCATACAACGGTTCCTAGAACGTTCCTAGAACGTTGCAAGCTTAAGTACTGTACCAATGATAAGAACGTAACTGATGACAACAAAGTGTTGACCTGCTAAAAGCTGTTCATTTAGAAAAACGCTTTTCTGGTGGGCTTTTCTTTGAAAGGTAAGTAGAATTACGATCTACTTCGTTATCAGAATTATTATAATTATAGACCTAATCCTAAAGTTGTGGATGTCATGATGTGATCAACTATTCTATGAGATTTTGCGTGGAAGCCACATCATTGTTTATTCTGACTCGTCGTACGTAACAATCCGTGATATTACGTTTGGAATTTGTAAAGAACACATTTAGATAAAAAACAGAATGATATATTTAATATAAGTTGAGATAAGTTGCACAGAACGACCACGTCTGCAAGGCTGAACCACGAAATCTGATTGGATAGGTTTTATAGTTGAATTTATGGGACATTTGAAGCTAGACCACCGTAGAAAACTTGGAAGCACCAGACGACCGTTTCGCCCTATTGTGGGACTCCTCAGCAGTGCGCATACGTGATCTGGCCTCGCCAGATTCGAATTCAGGACCTATCAGTCTTGTGCGCGGAGGCTTAAACTCTAGACCACTGAGCCGGCATTCAACGATGTTAATGTCTCACTTCAGCTTACCCACGAAATCGAGTAACCATCCATTATTACTAAAATCTCCACAAAAACCCTTCTGATAAATATCATACGCTCATTAGTGAC